ACCCACCCTCGGTCGGGGGAAAATTAAATTTGTCTGGGAATTTATTTTAACAAAAGATAATAAAATGTTGTGTTAATTATGGGATTCTTTAATTAAAAAGGATAACTTGATAGCAAGTGCCATGCAAGTTAAGAGAGTCCTCCTGTCGGGGTTACCGGTACTAGTCCCCCTGCGGGGATACTAACCCCTTGTCGGAGGGTCCCAGCCCACTATCGGGAAAGAGCTGGAGCACCCTGCAACCCATACGATCGCAATAGTACAACACCACGCACATACGGTAGCACTGCTCGAACTAAACATTTTTAATCCCTAAAATTTAAAAGCTTACTAAGGCATTCTTGAATAGTACAGTACTTTCGGCGCTTGAGATTTGATTTTTTTCCTCGACGACCGGCAGGACAGGAGGTGCAAGCAGGGGCCCAGAGGTCCCCGATAGGGGCTCCTTTTCCCTCCTGGACCCCCGCTATATAGCGCCGCCCCTGTTGCAATTCTCGCTGCAAGTGGTCTTATTCTCCTGACCTGTGCGATGACATACCACCATATACCCAGAGAGGACTGGAAATGTGCATCCATACATTACCTGCACATCCATTAAATAACAAATGCTATTGTAAAAGACCATCCCTTCAACTCATTGAAAACACTACCAGATAGTTATTAGGCATGTGTAATTAAGAATTTATTACGGGAAAACTCGATCGATAGCTGAAGTCCCTGGGAATAGAATGTCATGAAATATCGAATGACTGAAGTAACAAAATGTTGGTTATATCGATATCCGTTATCGTATAAACAATGTGTTCTATCAGTGCAAAGTAATTCGATGGTGTTCTGTGAGTTGTTTTTTTTTTCTATGTGTGTCTTCTATCTACTAATTATGGCCGATGGAGTCCTACAGATAAGCCTTTTTTAATATATGTCGAGCGTATTTTACAGTATTATTTATTAATAAATAACAATAAAGTTAGGTTTTTCGTGTAGCATCGTACACACAATATAAACAAATAGATAAATAATAATAACAGTGCTTAGATAGAAACATAGGCATTGGCGCAAATCTAACCCCTATAGGCACTCTCTTTTATACAACTGACTTTACGTTCACCGTATGGACCTGTATGGTCTAACGGTATGATACTCGCTTTGACAGCTAGAGGCTGGTGGTTAGGCCCCATAAAAAAAATTAGTTTATCACCCCCCCCCCCTCATCACTTTTGGGGAAATTGCGAAAAAAAACAAAAAAAAAACACCTCCCTCCCTCATCAGTTTTTATTTTTTGATAGGGTGATAACTAATCATTTTTTATAGGGACTTACACCGCCACAGACACTTGTTGTCATACCCAACTGAAAAGGAACTTTTCGATGAATGGTGCTTGATACGATAATAGCGTCTAGTATTAGTACCACCGCTCATAGGCCTACATCAATTTTTCCTTCCATATCCTACCTTTTAAAACTGTAAAACCAGTTGTTGTAACAGTCTTTAATGTCGGTTTACCCCACTTGGCTTTATCATCGAATAGGACTAGTTTGAAGCGGCAGGCTAAGCTGATACTGTAGGTAGTGTGGGGTTCCAAACCTCTAATGGTGTACTGTTGCTCATCAACCTACGTCATGTATGAATAATAGTCTGCGGTAAGATCACCAAAACCCACAAAATTAAGTTAAAACATTTAACGAAAAAAATCATTCACCAACTAACAGATGAATACATACAGTGCACCTTCCAATTCGAGGCCTCACTAATTCCAAGACTCCTCTAATTCGAGACCACTTTTTCAAAGAACCAAATAACAATTGTCAATCTTTTACTACAGCTACCTCTAATTGGAGGCCAAACCCGAGACCACCCCAATGTTCACGTCCCAAAGTGGCCTCGAATTGGAGGGCGAACTATAATTCCGTACCCTTTCTTCTTGCATACATATATTATATAAAGAATTATTATTGTTGTTGTTGAATACATTTATATAATGTTACACGTAAAAAAGATAAACCCTAAACTATCTAAAGTATCTATTCAGAGATCCCGTCTTGAACTCAAAATAAGGCGCCGCATAGCGGCGTACCACGTTGATCCATGTTTCATTTGTGGTGTGCAGATTGTCCAGTTGGCTAAGTGTCGGCATAGACAGCAGAAGGTCCTAGGTTTGAACTCGGGGCAATTTTTCCCACTCACAAATTCCTTTTCTTTACCGTCTGCAATTTATACACACACATATCTAATTCAATATCTTTTTAAAAATAAATAAATCCATCTCCTACCATCTCTGTTGTTTCATTGACTCGTTGATTCCAATAGTGTAATTTGTACAACAGTTTTCGGCTGTTCGATTGTTTGTTTTTGCTCGCAAGTTCAAAGGGTTTCTGCCATGTCACATCTATACTCGTTTCGGAGACATTAAACTCCACGTTCGTAACTGTATTTGGTATGGCTAAGAATCAACCAAAAAATAATGTTTATTATTACAATGGTTGAAGATACACAAAACAATAGGATTAAGATCTAAAATATATTGTTACATATCATACAAGTCACAGGCTAAAATGTATTAATATGCTAAATAAAATATACCGTACTGTATGCCGCATGATAAAGTTATAAGCAATGTTCCAAGTGAAACTGAAAAATAGGACTAAGTTATATAATTGGCCTATACATATGTGTAATATACCGTATTATACAGTATATAAATTAATGTAAAAAACCCTAAACTACTACCGTTCTCTGGTAATTCTTAATATATACAGTGCTATGCTAAAACCTAATTTGAATACTTTTGAATATTATATGTATATATTATACTTACATATATAGGTCCCTATGTATACATATATTAATATTTATCCATTGTATTATGATCGAATTTGATTCTGATTAGATAGATTTTATAAAAACATTAGTAAAGAATAAAACTATTGTGGACCTTGTGTATAAGGAGTGAACTCCAACAAATCAGAGACGAGCACTTTCGTTCCTGCTGCATCCGTGCTGTATACCGATATAGTCTGCGTGTTGTAATGCCCTCCATTAGGCTCATCAGAATCAAAATAATATATTGTTCGATTTCCTTTGATTTCCTCCTTAATTGGTGTGTATGAAGAACGAAGCCTAAGGGAAAATGATAATATAATAGTCATACCTTTGTATATAGTAGTAAAGTTTGAAGTAGCCCTCCAACATTTAATAAAAACATTGAAGTTATAACTTAAAAAATCATATTTTTTTAAATAATAAAAATAATTCATATCTTTGTACATTTGAATTGTGAATTTATTTAAAACTGTATTTTTTTTTCTAAAACATTTGAATTTTAATTACGGTACCTTTTAATGTATGTAATAAATTGGCTGTTTCTTTAATGTTCACTGGAGAACCTTTTAAATATTAAATTCGATTTTTAAGCTTTTATTTTGTCTTTTGTATTTTGTACTGAATTTGCCCGGGAAAAAAATATGATAAATAAAAATCAGCTTCACGCAGATAGAAATATTTCCATTTCCCTGATTTATATAATTTCAATATAACAATTATCAAATTGTTTACCAATTAAATCGCTGCAAAGAATATAGACATTCTTTCTAGGCCTATGTGTCTTTTAATTTACAAGAAAATATTTCTCATTCTAGTATTTTTTTGAAAGATAATAACTTATATAAATGTTCAAATTGATCAATTCAAATATTAAATTGTTTTATTGTTTAGTAAAGTATTAAACCCCCAGTTTCAAGTACCGTGTAGAGGATGAGAGCGTGATGCTTCCTCTGGGTGGGACGCTGGCCTACCGCATGTCAGGCTACCAGCAATTACCTGGTACACATTTACAGGTGAGTAGACTGAAGCAATGCAGAAGGGCTATTTTACGAAAAATGAGACCAATATTCATTTCACTGTTCTTTTACTTGAGAAAACGTATTACGTAATTGGAATCCATGAATATCTATTTATTCTGTTGCACCGTCTTAAACTCAACTCAGACATATAGGCCTATAGTATAATAATTGTATTATAATCATTAAAATGAGCCCGAACGACCGGAAAAGTCCATAATTGTAATTTCCCAAGCACTAAACTAGTATTTAATAATGGTAATTTGTTTTAAAATAACAATTAATTTACTTTGGTATTCGTATTATCGTGAAGGGTATCCCTGAACACATCATAATAACACATGATTTTGTAAGAGGTATGATATTAATGAACAAGTTTGAAATCAGGTATGCTTTCCTCAAAACTCGTGTGTTTTACGTTATCCGCATTATTGAGTGGATATATCAATAAAATAAAACCTTATAGCTGAATTATTGATGAGTATTATTTTGCTTAACATGTTAGTGAATTGAAAAATCTGAGGTCAGCAATATTCCAAACTGCAAACATTGTAGCGACCTCGTTAAGCATGTATATTACGTTATCCATATTCCTCAGTAACTAATAATCACACCAACTATTTGATATTTATACCAAATTATATATATGCCCTCACGTCATTATGGACCAATTTTATGGAATTTAACATCAGATTTTTCGCGCTTGACAGTAAAATAGAGCAAAATGTGATTTACGTTATTGTGAACTACCAGATTACTAGTGACATTCTGACCCATTTCCCACGCTCCAATGGCTTTCATCACTACCGAGAGTACACCGATGTTGGTAAAATCATGGCATATGACAGTGCAGATGATGATTACATGGTAAAATCATGGCATTTGACAGTGCAGATAATGATTACATGGTCAAATCATGGCATATGACAGTGCAGATAATGATTACATGTTCATGGAACCGGTTGGCAGTGCATGCTTTAAATGGCCAAAACTTATCGATGAATTATGGATACTTGCCCCGTTTGGGAATCGAGCCTACAATCGCTGAGTTTACTACCCTTGATCCAGCATGAGTAAACGGAGGGAGATAACGCGCGGCCACTAAGCCATTAATGCGATAAACCTACTGCCACACCAAGTAGGCCCCTACCAGTTATTCAACTCTGATTTTACTAAAAAAAATTCTTCGTATAAATACACTGCAGGTTAATATTACGCATGGTCATGGTGTCAAAAATGGGCCGTGGGCCAAGGGGGTTTATTTTTTGTCTAAAAATGTAGAATAAAATTTATAATCGATTTTTGATTGTTACCATCTTACGCACTTTACCATAACTTACGCACTTTCCATCTTACGCACTTACCATCTTACGCAGTTTACCATAACTTACGCACTTTCTTTTAAACAAAAATGTTTGAAAAATTCATTATGCAAATTAGAAAAAAATAGACTAATCATGTTACGGGAAACCTATTAGTTGTGTGTTCAATTCCCACACGAACCAATTTTTTTTTTTATTTATTTATTTTTTTTTAATTTATTTATTTATTTTTTTATTTAAGGCAGTTTAGTTGATGGTGGATAATGAATAGCAAACCTGAAAGTTGTGTGTTCGATTCCCACACGAGCCATTTTTTTTGAAAGGAGAAAATATCGTAATTCACATGTTTACGTTATCCACTCTGAGCAAGAAAGTGTATTTGTTAGTACGTCTAGGCATATGATGTGTTTATCAATCCATGTTGAACGCATTATGACATATTCCACAGTAAGGTTAAATGTCAAGTTACATTTGATTGTCTATTTGCATCTGATTTATGTTTAACTATACCACTAATTCAATTTTTAAGAGTAATTAATCGATAATGCTTGAATTAGCTTGCAAATCTCAGGAGGAGAATACGGTTTATTATGTTAATAGTTGATGGTGAAAATAAATACCAAGTAGGCCTATGTTTGGACGGTAACATGACCTTTTCAGTGTTCTTTCATAATTTTACTATTTTACCACAATTCATGGTATAATGTGTATTAAGTTATCCGTACTTATATACTGTAAATTGATAATGATGCGATCACGTGTGTATCATAAACGGTCGTCTCAAAATGTATTTACAGGAAACATTACAGAGAATGTCAACAAAATGAAACAAATTTAATACATTTCAAGACAACCAACTATGTGATTTTGAAACATATCAACATATCATGTTCATAAGTATCAATTAATTTGTTTACACTAATATATAATGGTTAGTATAATTGCTAACATAAACTGGTTTCTTATGATAACATAGAAAATGCTTCTAAACTAAGTGTGAATACGCATAGTGATTTTGTTTGTTGTTATTTTAATGTAATCACGCAGGTTTTACTTTATTTTAAAATAATTGTATTAACAAAGAGTTACGACCACGTAATACACAACAGCCATTGTGTACAAAAATGTACAATAACATTCAAATTGATTTTAGAAAAAAAAAAACCATACATGTGATGTTCACGATTTCTATTGATCTGCTACTTTTTTCGTAGAAGAGTTCATAAAGTTCCTTTGCTCAATTAATTTGTGTTTCAATAACAGTTGTTTGCACGAATAGATAATTGTCGTTGAAGTAAAATTGGTTTCGCTAGTATTAATCGGAAAGTGTAGTATTCTAAATCCGAAATGTGACATTTTCTTGAATTATTCTAATTGAATTATTCTAGAATTAATACTATTTCTATTATTATTATCACCTTTCATTATTATTATCATTATTATTTAGTGGCGGATACAAGAATTCGTAATAGAGGGGGCAAACGAATGGACTTCACATATAAGAAGGTCCAATTATGATTATAGTACTTTTAGATGGCCGAAAATGGCACTCTCAGTTAAATTTTAATATACAGTTATTTTCTTTGTTTTTCCATTTATTTTTTGTAAATCTAGGGGGAGGGGGCACCCTGAATCCACCAATGATAATAATCATCATTCTTCTTCTTCTTGAACGTGTTGCGTTCCCTGGAAATCTCGTCGGTCGCAGTGTGCCTGGCAATCCGTCTGTTATACCCAGTTTTGATCTATCTTTGGATGCCTACAACTTTTGAGGTGTCTTTTAATGACTTTTAAGTTCTTCAAATTTCAAGGTTTTCCCCTCTGAAAACCGTCAGGTAAATTTTCTCATTCTTATTTCAATATTTTATTTGATTATTATATGATTAGGGCTACTTTATTCTAAACTTACTTATTTAAATTCTTTCTCTGTTGTTTCAACTGTTTCTTTGACCTGCTTATATTGTTTTTTGATCCTGCTTTATTAATTTGCATCTTTAATTGTAATTTAATTGATTTTGCTTTAATAATTTATTTTCAGTTTTATATATAATTTTGAATTAATTCATTTTGTAAATTAAGAATTGAAAGGTTGTTACTTTTTTTACCTTTTCCTCCTTTGTATATTTTTATATATTTTTGTTTGATTATTTCATTAGGGCTACTTAAAGTAGTCTAAATTTATTTTTCCTAATAATTAATTAGTTTCATTCTCTCTTGTGTCCACTCTCATTAAAGATTGTTGAAATAAAATTAATAAAGTAAATAGCACTATTATGTGGGTATACATACAGAAAAAAAATTGAGTAGTTGCATACGTACCGTATTCTTTTTTCATGAATCGATGAACAGATAGGCATGAAGAACGCACTTTCGTACAAAAATTATCTTTACGATTTCGAACCTACAGTTTTTCTAACTTTTTATTCAATCGAAGGCTAGTTAGGCTAAGCCTAATTGCTTGACCGATCTGCCAACCTATGCCTAGGTTAGCATGCCTTTTGTAGGCCAGGGTACAGTAGTAGGCCTATTTTGTTTTACATTTCTTCACGGGGGGGGGGGGGGGGGTGGGGCGATCCTGAATCCCATGCATCCACCATGATATCTGAGATATGCTACAAAAAATATATAATTTGTTCGGATCTCATACATAAATATGTAAAGTATTGTTTGTGTAGCTAAATTAATTTTTAAAAACACTATTGATGCAAGTGGTATTGCTTTATGATAACAAGCTATACATACATTACCATTTTGAAAATGTAGATGCATTGAAACAAAATGAAAAACAATACAATCCTTAAAAACCACAGTAAACTTTTTTCAAGACTTCTAAATTTCTACTCTTACTTTCTACGTTAAATCTAAGCCTACCGTACATTTATTTTGTACTTTTAGATTTCAAAAACAGTTTACACCCAAATTGAAATTTCTAAAAGGTACATGCATCCCAACACCCCCTTAAAATTGGGCATATATCATCTAATTTTCCCATTGTAACAAGAAACAAATTTCAGCTCACGGCAAGGGTCCTTCTTCTTCTTATCGAGTCTATTCACGAGAGCATCTCTCCTAGTACGGCAGCTTAGGGCCATATTTGGACTTAATGTGGACGTTCCGGACAAAAGCACCATTTTTTTTTTACATGCTCCTTATGGTCATAGCATTCAATTTTTGGTAGGAACCACCTCATCCGAGGTCATTATGGCGGCCAGCTTTGATTTCAAAATGGTAGCCTTATAAAACCTATGTTTATCTATATCTCCGCTTCTAATCACTTTGAATTATAATTCTAATATCTAAGAGTATGTTTATATGTTCGAGGAATACCATCATATCATATTTGACCTGGTCAGATTGCCACAAATGGGCCATTTAAGGTCATTCAAAGTCAAATATTGTATGGTATCTTTAAAATTACGTAATTGTCAAATTTTACATTAGAATCATACCCACGATCTCAGAATTCAAAATTTTTACTATGAACTACAATATTTCATTTGAGGTCATTCTGGCGGCCATCTTGAATTTCAAAATGGCTGCCACGCAAAACATATATTTATCAATATATCGACTTTTAAACTACTTCCAATAAGAATGATGTCTAAAAATATATTTTCATGGTCAATGATTTATAGCACTTGTGACATGGTCAGATCAAGGAGGTATAAAAATAATTTTTATACCTCCTTGGTCAGATGGTCATTTAAGGTCATTCAATTTCATTTTTCTCTTAAATACGTAGAAATTAATAGTTTGTAAGTGGTCGTGTTTTACAGCAAAATCATACATAAGCTCACAAAATTCAATTTTTAATAGGAACTATTTCATCAGAGGTCATTATGACAGCCATTTTAGGTCAAGGTCATTTAGCAGCCATATTAAATTTCAAGGTGACCACCATGTAAAAAGGTTTTGTTATTTTAAATATGTTTACTGTACTGCATAGTCAAAGAATAACATCAAAAGTAGTGACATGTATTTGTATTTATTATATTCCATTATATATTGGAAAAAGTCTGACATCAGATATTGTATTTAATGTGAAATGATAAATTGATATCAAAAAGAATGGTATAATATATATATATATATTATATATATATGTATTGTGTGTTTGTTGGGGTGTGTATATGTATGTATATATGTGTATATGTATATACAGTATGTATTTGTATATATGCATGTGTATATAAGTATATATATAAATAATAATAATAATAATAACAGTTGAATATGCAATAATGTTTTGCTCACACTATGATGATATTACTTTCATGAAATATAAATAATATTTTGTATTTAATATATTCAAAATCTCATAATTTAATTAATTTAATTTTTTGACAGGATTTCTTATTGTATACCGTGGTGCAGTATGTGTTTATTTAAATTAAGAATGATGAAAAAACTGTGAGTTACCCCCACAAAAGATTTTAAAAAAGTGGTGACATGGTCAGATAATTATGGTCATAAAAAAGTCATTTAAGATCAATATTGTATGACATCTTAATAATACATCTTCTCGGATTGTTATTAAATAATCAGAACAGTGGCAAGGTTCTATGAAATACCTATATATCCTATATGTATATAAGTATGCAGACTATGTTATATATAAATTAAAATACTTTGCTGTGTAGTAGTATAGAAATACAATACTAGTTAAAATAATACTAATAATGTTGTAATATATAAATATGTGTCTCGACCACAGGTCTCTGTGGTTGAGTTGGTAAGACCTTCGCACGTTAAGAAAAAGGTGCTGAGTTCGAGTCCTGGTGGAGGAAAGGTTCCTTTTCATTCTGATCAGATTTTCCTCTTCAGTTGCATTTAAATTGTACATTATTATTTACAAAATGGGTTTATCCTATTGGTCTAATAAATCAAATAAGTATTATTATTGTTTTCTATTGTATTGTATTGATAGATAAACATAGGTTTTATTAGGCGGCCATTTTGAAATCCAAGATGGCCGCCATAATGACCTCGGATGAGGTGGTTCCTACCAAAAATTGAATGATATGACCATAAGGAGCATGTAAAAAAAAATGGTGCTATTGTCCGGAACGTCCACATCCGTCTGCTAAGCTGCCGGACTATCCTTTCTTGACCACCATAAGTCCTGAAAAGGTAGATCTGGATTTTTTTTTTATTGGCAGCTCAAGGGACCCCCTCCCCCGCCCAGATCCGCCAATGTCATACCATTCATACATACCCATAATTGCTTGTTGATGTGATGCTGTAAGTTAAATGTTGGCTATTTGAAGGCGCTTCCCAGATACATTTGTATTCGTCGATGGTTGAACTTTCACATGAGAGTATGCCATCTGAATCGCCTGCAAATATATACAATTTATTTAGTTAAATTTGTTTATTCGACACACCCTTAAAATGCGCACATTTTGAATTAAACCAGTTGAAAATATCTAATAATCTGTGCTAGGTCTATATTATATAAAACAAAGTTATTGTGACTCTTAAGATAAGTTGGTGCTGAATAAAATTAAGAGAGGTCGTTAACATCATGAAAACAATGACTACTCCCATACTTACATACGATTGACTTAAAACTCAGAACCACAAGGATGATTTGCAGAACAAAGAGGAGACTCGGAGCCATGTTAGCCTGTAAGGACCAAAGGTGCAAGTGTCGGTAAAGTGTTTGAACATGGCAATTTAACTCACGCTAATATTGAATTAGTTTTTGTTTTGATTTCTTATTTCTTTACTATTTTTTTGAATTACATTGACCTTGGACTCAACGCATCAAGAGAAAGTGCAGGGTAATTGTACTTCCTAAAACTTTAATAAATTATTGAAAGGAAGAAATATTGTTTCGATTGCTCCATATTTTGATTCTTTTTTTTTTTTTTTTTTTTTTTTTTATAACAAAGAGATTAAAAAATTGAGAGTCCTTGCTTCCTTTTTAGCTTCCATGCATGAGAGGGTTCAAACATGAAGCACTAAGAAATGAGCAGAGGATGTGATTTTCTGGTTAAGATGCTCGATCTACAAAATTCGGTATTTGATTAACTAAAAAAACGAACTTCAAACTAGGCAACTACATCCTTTTTTTGTTCTAGCCTTTCATGGGTGTCCTATTATAATAGGCCTATGCTAAAACAAAAAGTAAAGTTGATGTACATTTTTTAACTGTCTTACCTGAATTTTTATTACAATCTACACAATATTACCTCGTTAAAATATTTCAGGGATTTAGTTGAGACAAACCATCGGCATATCTTCTATTATCTAGCCTAGGATTTCTGTTAAATTCACGTGTACTGGGTAAAATTCACTCATCAGAGCCGCTTATTTCGATGCAGCAGTATGCAGTTGTTTTGGCCGTAACTGTAATTCAGGCTGCCTAATCTGTATTGTGTTTGCGCACTTTGTTGAAATCAGCTTAACAAAAGAGGCGAGTGTCACGACAATGCGCTAACACGTTTTATTACAACGAATGTGATGTAACGGAGGAAATGTTGTAGGCGAAATTTTGTAAATACATATAGACTTTTAATGGTTATACTAAGCACCTTAAGATATTAATCTGATGAAGAGTACCATACCGGCACCGTATTATGAAAAACCGATTGAAACGAAAAGAACATAAAAAATAAATAAATAAAACAACAACAAAACAAAACAAAAAACAAAAAAAATATAAACAAAAAAAAAATGTTATGCAATACATGTATATGATTTTTTGTTTAATGATTTTTATTTTAATGGTTTGATTTTTGACTTTTTTTTGAAGATGTAAATAAATCAGTAAAAAAATTCTGTATTTCATCTTATGACATTATACTATCAGCAACATGAAATTGAAACTGAAGGCAAGTGCATTTTAATAATCTTAAAAACTAAATATTGGCAAGTATGTTAAACTATACAGTATCTCTAGGGAATGATAAATTCGCAATGAATGGCAAAACATCAATTCAATATGTAATAGAATAAGTCTGCATTGCAACAAACAATATAAAAATTTCAAAACATAAAAAGTCACGCAGACCATACGCCGACTGATGTGCAATAACACCGTACTACTTTTTTTCAATTTCAGGCCTATCACCCAATCATATTTAAGCAAGATATGCCTATACCAGGTCTACCTCATTTTTTTTACATTTTTTAAATGCGTTGTCTAATGAAAATTTTGCTATCAAGATAAAATTATTGATAGTGCTCAGTTGTATTAAGACAGAACAGATAGTTATCATGATAACTATACAACAAACCTCAGAGCCAAATACCAGTCATACCATGGTAGTAGGGAGCTTTCGATTGCACGACGACCGTAGGACCATGGAGGAAGGACGTAGAACGTAAGGACGTCACTAAAAGTATTCTGCGCATGCGAGAACGTTCAATTCTTCTCTCTCGTCGCGTGGATTGTGGATTCTACTACGCAATTTAGGACGGTCACGCATGAATGATTCCGTTGAGCGTCGCGTCGTCGAGCAAATCGAAAGCTCCCTAACTGACAAAATACATTGAACGTTATGGTTGTGCCCCGGATCGATGAAATATCTTTTATGGTAAGTGTTTTCCTCGAACTCACTAAAGCGTTTCAATTGTATCGTTCAGTATTGGAAAAGAGGTGTTACATTTAGTGTGGTATGTGGTATACAGTACAGTCTGTTTATCGTGAAAAAAATAGTGAATTTATAATCAATTCTGATGGGGAATATATTAATTTTTTGGGTAATATGTGGCCACAAATATTAAGTTTTTTTTTGTTTTAAGTTTATTGTTAGTTATTTAGTTCGTGTTATCAAGCAGAGCCAAGAAATTCTGGGGCTACTATAACGTTTGAACATCACGATACCGAATTAAACAGCGTTAGCAGTGAGCTTAGTTAAAACATATTTTAAACAACACAAAAGGTGAATTTACGTTTGAGCAGAAACAAATTGCAATCTTATATGCTTTCATTCATTCATTCATTTAGAGTAACATTAATTTCTTCTTTTTTTTTCAATTATGTACAACTTGTAAAGAAATAAATCAAATATTAGTCTAAGAAGAGAGCGAAACCCAAATAAAAAGGAAAATAACCAATGATTATTGTAGGGCTTATGTTAATATGGATGCAATTAACTCATGACAACTTAAATAGCTCATAATACATATTCCCAATTATTAATAGGCCTATTATAAATGTGAACTTGATCTTATAAATATTTTGAGATCACAACCCCCAAAGAGGTAAAACAGGTCTAGGCAACAGTCAAGCAATTGGGCCTAAGTTAGTATCTACTATTAGTAGCAGGCTGATGATGTTAACATTATATTATACATGAATGCGGGAGTACAATTATATAATTACATAAACAAAATGGAACTCCGGCATTTATGTAATTAAATCTAAAGCCTTAAAAACAGATAACATCCATCAGAGAGATGGGCTTCAGTTGCGTATCTGCTGAGCTCGCCATGTGATACACATACACAACACGCGGCTTCTTGGCAGTCGTACACTTGGAAGCCGATATTATTATTATTTGACACACGCCAGTTATACAAACACGTAATCGAGCATCTAATAATGCTTCTCGTCGACTTGTTCTTTAAAACTTCAAATGGAGTTTTATTGACCAAACATTCGTATTTCTCACTAGATGACTTCACGTACCGAAATGAAGGTAGTTTTATAGAGCAGATATCTAGAAAAAAGATCACAATTTATAACTCTTGATGTTTAAAAACAATATAAATGTCAACTGCCATACATTTTGCCCTCCAACTCAAGACCAATTAATTTTAAGACCACTTTTCTAAGTACCATCTTCAATCTAACCATTTAATTTGATCGAACCTCAAGAGCAACCCCACATGTTCAGAGGTCTAAAAGGGGCCTCGAATTAAGTTCAGCAAATAATATTGAGTGATCTTTTCTCTTTGTTTGACATAGAAATATTTTAGTTAGTCTTGATGAAGTCCTGATGATTCCGAAGAATTTCTGTGTTTAGCGTCCATTGTCTTTATATTAATATGTGTTTGGATTTAATTTGAAATCATTGGAATTTCTTACTGCTGGTTTTAATAAGGATTATTTGTCTTGCTATGATTATTTGTTTTTAATTTTAATAGGTTTTGCTTGACCGTTTTATGCTATTGTAGAATTTGGTTTGAGTAAAACTTTTTGAATAGGTAATGAAGAAGAACAAACACAACATAATATCATGCACTTAACAATTTACATTACACTTACCCCTTGGCCTGCTACTTAAGTTGCTTAATCGAGTGATGGCCTTTGGAGTGTGTAATGCAGGTGTCGCCAATGCATCGGTAACAATGATATCAGCAAGTGGAGAACTGTCAGAATTGTCAGTAATGGCAGACAGGCTTCCAACATCATTTACAAAAGTAGATGGGTTGCTGGGATATTCTACAGTGGTAGACGGATTGCCTGTAAGATATGATGCACTGGTAAACCTTTTACCAGTGTTCGGTACAGTGGCGGTATGCCGATTGTCAGGACTTGCTGCAGTGATGGGCTGGTTGCCAAGAACGGATATAGTGGTAGACGCCGGGGTGCCATTTTTTTCCGATACAAGGGTATGCAGATCAACAGAATCCGATGTCACAGCGGTAGACGGGTTGTCCCCAGTGGTTGACTGGTTGTAAGTTGTTGACGAATTGCTAGAATACAAATTTTCTGGTTTTTCAGAAGTAGTAGACAGGTTTATAAGATATTCTAAAATGGTAGATGGGTTCCCATGATTCTCTTTTGAAAAATTGTTGCCAGAATCTGATACCACGGTGGATGGGTTGTCAGTATATTCGACAGTGGTAGACTGTTCGCCAAAATCTTCTACCATGGGATATTCTGCAATCGGCGTAGGCGCATCTAAGACTCTGTAGTAATAGTAGTAGTAGAGGTAGTCGTTGTAGATGTTATCTATATTTAGAGGTATATATAGTTCTAATTAATTCCCCTTTTTATCACGTAACAATGTCAATAATCAAAGTACATTTACCGGTCAACGATGTGAAAATACTTACCAAATTGTCCAAAGGGAAATACAAGACTCAACAAAATCAGTAAGAGCATCTATAAGAAAGTAATTTGAACGTTGTTTCACGTGTATTTCATTTAAATAAAATCTTATGCTATAATATTATGTAATATAAAAAGGCCTATTATATAACTGTGTATTTTTCTTTCTTATTATTCTTTACTTCAAAAAATGAAATACAATTACCTCGGTAAAACGTCCGTCTTGTGTCACTTGTATGAAGACAATGTTTGTTTAAAGTGTACTGGATTTGCAATTTTAACATAACCGAATTCAAACGTTGTGTAAAGCGTATGTATTTGTTTATATTGTTTTTTTTTAAAAGAAATCCCTTTGTTTACTTAATAGCACTAATGATAACCGTGTATTTAGTTACTATCCTACAACCATATATCCACACTGACACTGAACGCTCGCACGCACAAGAATAAGGGAACTGAATAAGGCCTAATTTATATTATTTTTCTCATCTAAATTGACGGTCATTTACTCGGAGATAAGGTTTCGTATGTCGTGTTTGCTAATCACATGTGTAAAAATAGCCTACCATTATAACCTGGTATCGAAATTTAATCCACTGTTTTTTGTGGAATACAATGTGACGTTGTTCCGTTAGCAATGAATCTTGAATAGCTTAATTAATTACTAGGGCCTAATTGTTGTCAAACAGTATAGAATTTTGCCTTGATTTTGTAGCCCCGTTTGCACGCAATTCTGCCACGAGATAGGGGGCGCCCTATTAGAATTCGAACCAGAGCCGTAGGCGATTTTTTTTTTCGTACGAAACATTTGCATGAAATTTCACTCGGGCCATCTCGGATACGAGGAACAAGAGCAGACACTTCGCAATGTCGTGACGCTCGAGTTTTACTATTATTGCTCTTTCTATGTTTACCTACGCTAGGCCTATGATATCTTACGGATTTATGAGATTTACGTGTGTAACTAACTGTGACCTTCTTGGATGTTTATTAAATGTTAGTATAATATCTACAACAACAACAGCTAGTACCCCCTTTTATAAAGTGTTGATAGGTACAGTAATACCAAAGGCTAGAGAGAAAGTGGATAAACATGGGCCTAACTACAGGCTAAGTTAAGTCCTACCTAGTATAGGCCTAGGGTCCTAGGCTGACACCAACAGTCACGCTTTTCATACAGACGTTGATTGAAATTTTGAAAAAAAAAATGGAAAAAAATTAAAGCATGAAAAAAAAAATAGAGTGCATAAGAGAAATATTATTAAATAAATAAAATATACGGTACCATTCGGCGGCGTTAGTGTACTTGGCCAAACTATCCTTGTAATGTAATTAATGTTAAATAATAATAATAATAATAATAATAATAATAATAATAATAATAATAATAATAATAATAATAA